GAAGGAGAGAGTTGATGTGCACTGATAAGGGGAAGGGGGACTGTGTGAGAGAAGGGAACGTTCTGCTGAATTGCCAGCTGGGTTCACCAGACAGATGGTCGGATTTGCAGCCGCTTGAAATGATAGTTTTGAACTCAACACCGTGACAGGGGCACTTACTCCCCCTTCTTATGGGCATTCTGCATCATCTCTGTGCGGCTAGGGGCTCGATCAGCTATGTCCGCTCTCCCTGACACGGGCAGGCTTTGCACTGTAACCTGTCTGACTCGGTGCTTCTGAATCATGCTACCTGTCTGACTCAGTGCTTCTGAATCATCGCTTCTGTCCTCTGTTTTCTGCACTTCGTCATTCACCTTACGTGCAATTGTTTCCTGATCCTTTTCTTTTTTTTGGTAACGAATTAGTAATAATTGTCAATCTCATGCCTCGAAGTCTTTCCCGGCCCAGCCGAATGGCGGAGAAAAAGCGCTTGACCTCTCGCGCTCAATTCACACCTCCCGTTTCATTAGCTATGGTTGTAGTAACGGTTCTGGTTCCTGCAACGAAGTGTCTGGTTGGATCCTCAGGTCCGCTGTTTTCATCTTCACTGCCTCCACCTATTGTACTGTTCCTTTGTCTTTTCAATGGTTGGATTCTAGTGCACACGGCTGCACTAGAATCATTAGAAGGTGGAGCCTCTTCATGGGACAGGAGCGAGCCTCTTTGGCTTTCCACCCTCTATCCTCTCCAGTGTAATTGGCGGTGGCCTCTTCTGGACCCTTGGGTCTCTTAAATTGGCTAAAGCGCCTCTTTATTGCCACCACCCCCGCCCCCTAAACACAACGCATCCTCATCAGTATTGTATTGGGAGCGCACAGATAGCTTGTATGCACTTATAATTAGTGTGCGTTGTGTTGGGGAGAAGATGTGAGTTCTCTCCCTGCTGCCTTCATCTATTAGCCATTTGCATCTGTTTTCTTCAGCTGACATTTTCCTGCCCTGGTCCTTCGCTGTCCTCGACATCCTTATGGCCTATGGCCTATGTCTTTTGCCTTCTACATCGTTCCCCTGACCCTTTCTGTTTTTTTCGTCCCTACTTTTTCCGCTACCCTTGCCTCCAACGTTATGCTTTGTGATCTCGTTAGCATCTTCAATGTTGCTGACCTCCTCTTCCAACGTATTTTGCCTTTGTATGGTGTGCGTGCACTCCTCTTCCGCCTCCTGCTGCCTTCCCCCACTCCCAGAAGTCATATTGTTTTCCAAAGCTCTTCACTTCTTTCTCTCTCTTTACCCATCTTCCTTTCATAGCCGTCCTACCCCTCACCATCTATCAAACCACGATTACGAGGAGACCCGTCGGTTTTCAGTTGGTCCTTTGGATTTGATGGGCCAACAGCAATGTCGTTTCTTTCTGTCTGCATGGTCCCCCCGTGTCGTTTCCATCTTTTTGTGTATGGTGGGGCGGCCCTGTACGTGATGCCTGTGTTGGGCCTGAATGGCCGCCTGGAAGGGGCCGTGTCTGGGTCAACCTGCCATCGGTGGACTGGCTACCGGTTGTAGTTTTGGAACTGCCAATTTGAAAGCAACTCAACTACCCTGCAGCAGCCATAGCTGGTTGATGATGTGCATACAGAGGATCTAACGCTGCGTGTGAGAAGATAGATACCTGATACAGGAGTAGCACGTGCCTTCTTTTTTGGTGCCGTCAACCTGTGGTAAAATGGAGGAATGTAGGAGTTCCAAGAACAGTGGAAGAATGCCGAAGTACACGAACACAGA